TCGACTTTTTTGTTTTCATGCTAGTCTATGCAAAGCACTGCCGTCCAAATAATCTTCCTTGCCTGTCTCAGGGCTGACCACTACAGTTGTCCAAAGATTGTGAGACCCTGGGTAGTGTGGGGAAGGCCTTTTTGAAACTATTAGGCTTTTAAACATTTCTTTCTGATCATGTGGACTAGAAACACTGATCATCTACACCAACAGTGCTCGAAACACAATTGTAAAAATGAAACTGCTCCCTGGTCAGTTGTCCAAAGATTGTGAGACCCTGGGTAGTGTGGGGAAGGCCTTTTTGAAACTATTAGGCTTTTAAACATTTCTTTCTGATCATGTGGACTAGAAACACTGATCATCTACACCAACAGTGCTCGAAACACAATTGTAAAAATGAAACTGCTCCCTGGAGAGCTTGGTCCAACTCAAGAATCATCTGTAATGGGGAGAAATTGAAACTAGGGAGACAAGAGGGGCAAGCAAATGGAAGATCGTGTCATATAAAACATTCAGTGTAACTTTTTATACGTAGCTAGCACTTACCAAGTCCTCAAAATGCTCTCAACTGCAGAGTACGCAGAGATGGGTCTACAACGGTCAGGTTTTTGCCTCTTGAGCTAGAAAGTTATCTTTTGCAAAGCCTTTATGAAAGAACAGCGGTTGTTAGTGCTAAGATCACACCCCCAAAGCTTGATAAAATTTGCATCCGGGAAGCATGCCTGCCCCAAAATGCACAGTGTGCTTTTTCCTGGATTGTAGACGGGATGGGGTTCAAACATTACTTAGTTTCCCTGAGTAAAGAAAGCTCCCTTTCTGTTAAAAAAAGTAGCAAGGGAGAAAGCTGTTTTACAGAATTCTGCTGATGGGTATAGGGGCCACCATGGAACCCCATAAGAAAGTCAGAACCAAATTTCAATGCCAAGCTTTAAATGTCTTAAGTGAACTGACCTTCGAACATTCAGAGTGACTTATTCATTTCTCATCGAATTTTAAAACGAAAACATTGGAACAGATCTATGTGGATGATCAGGAACTCATCCAAGGGGTTACATGTACCTCTATGGTCAGCAGAGAGGCAACCGAGGCATCCTGGGACTTCATATCCTCTAATCATTAGCTCATTAGAGAGATTTCTGCTCCGCCCATGCCACTACCAAAACAAACAAAAGCCAAGAGAGGCACAGGGGCAGGAGAGTCTGTGTTTCTTGTAGCCGTCTCTAGTTCACGATCATGATCCAGCAGCGTGACAGCATAGCTGCCAGAGCCATGGCTGTGCCGTCCTTTTAAAAGGAAGGTGGGATTGTACTCATCAGCTCTTGGCAGGAAGGTGGAGCTGAATTCAGCATCCCCTTTGGCCTAGGCAAACTGATCAGGCATGTATTCTAGGTGGTTCTTTTTTTTTTTTTTTTTTGAACAAGCTACACACACTTAGGTAGGACTGGGGAGTTTATGTTGAAGCGGCCCAATCAGAAAGCGCGTCTTATTTTTTACACTCCCCCCCTCCCCCTCCATTCACATACAGAACAGATTATTTATATTTGGTTAATGAAGGCAAAGGGAAAATCGGTTTTACGATGTGTTTTAAATGTGTACTTTTGATTGATTTGCTTTTTTAAAAATGTATTCTGGCCAGATCTGCAAATGAAAGTTTTTAGCCATTTATGAAGGGGACAGGTTAATCCCAACTTTACTTGAAAAAAAAATTACATACGTTAACTGCTTTCTTGTTTACTGACAGCGAACAAAGGCTATCAAAATCAGCACTTGAAATTTTATTTTTTAAATATTACTTCTGTATAAAATGTAAACTTAAAGATACTGCATTTCAAAGTAGAAGTTTACTCATGTATGTTTTATTTGGCAGCAGGAAATGGTGGGAAGATGAGAAAAACATACAGTAAATGGCGAACTGGTTATGCTTTATTAAACAGTGCCTAATTATACTTAAAAATGAATATTGATGATTCTGTCTTAAAAGGAGGGGGATAACCTTAAATGTGTGGACATGCACTAGGGAAATAATATGAACTAATTATTTGGCTGGCAAGGATTGTTCTTTTCATTAGACACAGCAAGATGGACCCTACAGATCTGTTTTTCTAACACTGACAGCTTTCATCATACAGCTGCTCCTAGGGCCTTTTCCGTTGTGGGAAAGGTGCTGCTGCTAGGAGAACAGATCTACGGGATCAAGCCATGGAATCCATCAAAAATTAAGCCCCGTAAGCCATCACTGACTTCAGTGAAATATATCAGTGGCTTCAGAGGAATTAAGCACATGCTTAGCACTTGCTCCCCCCCCCGAACCACTGGTGCCCAAAAGTGCTTCACTCCAATATACTGGGTCAGTCTATGCTAGGAAATCCCACAAAAGTTTCTAGTCCTCATTTGGAGTTGCTTCCTTGATCCTGCTGCAGTATACCAATAGACTGAAAACTGCCAATCCTAGTTACTCACCTCTTCACCCAGTGGCTTTCAGCAGTGTTCTATGCACGTATGGGTGTGGAGCCAAGTATGCACACAGTGCTACATGCAAGATTCACACACATGTTCCATTGAGCAGCTGTGCCTGCTCTTTTAGCATAGCTGAATCCCCTCTCTTGTTGACCTTTATGTGAAGGATGGGAACGACCCTTGGACACTTAGCGTGAGAGGTCCTTCTCCTCTGATGAAAGGAGGACATCTATGGGTGTTACCACCGTCCAATAGGGAGGCAGGAACTCTTCCTCTTCCTGTTTGGCGTGTGTGACACCCCCTATCTTCAGTTCGGGTGACTCCGCATAGCAGTAAACAGCAAAAAACCTTCCTATCAACTGTAAGAACTAAGAAGGTAACAAGAATAACAAAACGAAGCCATGAAAACGGAACGTTATAACAGTAGAAAGAAGACAGAAAGTTGCAGCAGTGGAAAGACATGTAGCAACGAAGACACAGGGAGGGCTAGATGTCCTCCTTTCCTCAGAGGAGAAGGACCCCTCACGGTAAGTGTCCAAGGGTCGTTATCCCTCTGAGGCGGAGGACATCTATGGGCACTCCCAAAGCAGTGCTCACTGTCTGGGTGGGTCATCGTCTTCGTCTGAAATCACAAGCTGCAACACTCGTCTGCCAAAAGCTGCATCCTCTGAAGCGTAGAGGTTCAACTTGTAGTGTTTGACAAAGGTAGAAAGGGACGACCATGTTGCGGCCTTGCAGACTTCTTCCACCGAAGCGTGCTTGAGAAAGGCTGCGTTAGTTGCGGTGCTCCGAACGGAGTGTGCTGTTATGCCCTGTGGTATGTCAATGC